TTTTTCTAAAATAGAAAATTTACTCTTCAGATTGTAATATCAAAATATTGAATTGATGAGTAGATATTGTGATAATTAATATTTTATCAGAATAAGAGAAAAATATATGAAACACTCATTTTGTGATGACTTTATGTTTGTAATGTTTTTGAAGTTAAATGTTTAGATTTGAAAAATTGTCAGGTATTTTTTTTTGCTTCATTCGAACTTGTCGACCTTTCAAATAATTAATAATGCGTAGTGTTATAATACGTCTAGAAAATTCATTATTCAAACTTACTATGAAATTGTTGACACAAAAGAAGAAAATTAATTTGTATACAGATTATTCTCAAGAGAAAACTTCGAGTTTATGCTTTTGTAGATCTAGACCTGACAGATTCAGATTCTAACGAAGGAATCCCACCAACTGATTAAAAGCTTTAAGGCTCATGTTTACGCTATAAATAGTGTTTAGTGAGACTAGATGAGTTCTAAAAGGATTTCCTTGAATGAGCGCCTATTTGGCTAAGATATGAACATTTCAAGTTTAGGACAAAAAATATAGAGATAGATTGCCTGTTGTGCATGAATTACAATACTAATATATATCAAGACAGAATTTATTGTTGAAACGCTTATCGATAAATCATGGAGCTGTTGAAAGAATTATGCTATAATGTTTATTTGATGATCTAGCTGTTACATAAAAGACGTACCAAGCTTGTAGCAAAAAGTCATGCGATCGATCGTCTTTCATCACGTGTAGTGGGTGTCGAAAAGACCTATGTTTTGATTATTTTGTCGTTAGTTATTACATTTACTAAACTATTATGTATAAAAAAAACTAACAATTCGTGTTTCAGTTGTTTTAACAATTTCATTGTCTGTTCTAGTTTTTTCATCCATTACACCAGCGAATAAAAGGGTTTTATATATGTCTATACCACTCTCAAGATGATTTATAGGAAATGCGTAAAAGACTTCAATGTATAAGTATTTTGAAAAATAGATTTTTTTCTTTTGGCACATGTTAGTATTATAATTCATACACAACCGGCAATCTATCTACATTTTCGATCCTAAACTTGAAATGTTCATATCTTAGCCAAAGTAGACCCATTCAAGGAGATCCTTTTAGGATTCATCTAGTCTTACTAAGCGCTACTTATAGCGTAAACATGAGCCTTAAAGCTTTTAATCAGTTGGTGGGGTTTCCTCGTAAGTTTTTTTTTCATGAATATTTGAGACCTTTTGTTTACATGAACAAGTGAAGGATCAAGATTCTAGTTACTTATTGGTTAATCTTAGAAAACAAAATCGGCGTACAGTTATTTCTTGTTGTTTCCTTTCCCATCAGTCAATACTAAAGAAATTAAAGCTTTTTGGCTTATAAGACATAACAAAGCTGGACTAATGAATTTTGGGATAAAAGTTTGTCTATAGACATCTCTTAAAAATTTCAGTCTCAAAAAAGAGTTTCTTCTCGGAACATCAAATCCACAAAAAAGAAACATGAATGCGCAATCAAAAAAAAGATCTAGTTTGCTTTGTAAATTTGATATCTCGAGAAACAATTCTATTTGATCGAAAATTCTAATGACTTCAAAAATCGTCAATGAACACAGTTTTAAACTAAAATTTATTTTTTTCGAGTTTCTCATAAATACTATACTAAAGATAAAAAATCCAGTACAATGCCCCTAACTCTCAAAGAGACCAGTCGCAGCAGTGAAATTCAACACAGTGTTTTGAAAACCATCGCGACAGCGATGCGATAGCTTTTCTTCATTTTGAGGTCGCGATAGACATCTTTGGCAAGTAGAGACTCTAGACGATATCTTATTAATAAAATGAAAATGCATATCTTTAAAAAAATTTTTTCTTTTTTTTTAATGCATAAAAATAAAACAATAAATACTAAAATTTATTTACAACAAAGGTAACTATGGTCTTTGGGATCAACTCTTAGCAATTGAATGGATTTATGAAAATGCACATTTATTTGGTGGTGATAAAAATCGAATAGTTCTAGCTGGTCATTCAGCAGGTGCTGGAAATGTTATGTTAATACCTGGTATATAACAAATTTAATATTTTGTTTTTTTTATTGTTTTTCATTCTATTTATTTAGCAAGTCGTTATTCTCGTGGTATGATACGACGTGTTATATCACAATCAGGCACAGGTTTAGCACCATGGAGTATAAATCATAAACCAATTGAATTACTTAAACGTTTTGCTGATGATATTTGTTGTAAACGTTCAAATAAAAAAGATATGATTAATTGTATTCATCAAGTATTAGAAAAAAGTGATCGAGATATTTATCATCTTCAAATAAGTCTTGCTATTGGTAGATTTATAAAATAAAATGCAACAAAAAAAAAAAAAACGTTCAATTAATATTGTATTTTTATTTCTTTTTTAGCTGATGATAATCCATATCCTGTTATTGATAATGATTTTATAAATGATACAATTGAAAATATATTACAAAGTGATATTTATAAAAATATTGATTTTTTAACAGGTGTTACATTAAATGAAGCTCTTTATTTTGCTGAATATCATATAAAATATTTTTATAATGAACATGAAAATGTTTCACATTTAAATAATAAAACTTTATTGAAAAAAGAATGTCAAAATATTGATTCAAATTTAACTACAATAAAATCATCAAATATTATATTTAATAAAAATTCAACAATAAAAATAAATTCTTTAAAACATGAAAATAATGATATTATAAATTTTGAACGACAAATAATAGATATTGAAAAACCATCAATTAATGAATTTGATATGTATCTTCAAAAGTTTGTTAAACAAAATTATATTGATCAATATATTAAGGCAAATTTTCAACATGGACAATGTTTTATTGATAAAGTTAAAAAGAAATATGAATTACCAGGTATAAATACAATAAAAAAAAAAATAATAATAAATTTATTTTTTTTCGTATTTTTAGCTAATAATAATCAAACACAACGATTAAAACTTTTTATTGATCTTGTGTCAGATTTAATGTTTAATTATCATATGGTTAAGTGTTTAAATATACTTTCTACAGTATCAAATAGAAATTCATCTATTTATGCATATATTTATTCACATCGACCAACATCAAAAGTTCCCAGTGGATATCGTGATCAACTTAAATTATTACCAGACGCTATTGGTCATTTTGCTGAATTAGGTAATTAAATAAAGAGTAATATTGTTTATAATAAATAGATTGATTAATCATATTTTGATTGAATTTTAATGAAACGTTAGTCAAACTGACATATATTCATTCCTATTCTGTAAAAAACAATACAATATGAAGTTACTAGCGTGAACCCGTGCATACTGCACGGTTGTTTTCTCCTTTAACATATGACCTCACGAGGGAACATTCCCAGGTGTTGGAA